TATCTCAAAGATTTTATAGCATTACTACTACATTAAAAAAATACCGTAATAGTTTGCAAAATAAGCTTATGCCAAGTCACATTCATTCCCTTGTGAGGCACCTGTATTTCTACTACACATAACAGGAGACTTGCTGAATCACAGTGGCTTAATACGCACTAACAGCACGCTGCCTTTATAAGCTTACATGATTTTCTACTCATGTATATAAGTATATAAGAAATAAGAATTTTTTCTCCAAACATCATGGATCTCACTTGCACCTATTTTAATTGAACTGGATAATGTATTTCTTTATGGTTTGTCCTCTGGCTTTAAAAAAAAAAATTAAAACTAAAAACATCCCAAACCTCTTAGAGGTCAGCACTTTGGGTTCTAACAGAAGTCTCCTGAAACTTTAAGAAATGAAATCCTCACTGGGCTTCCCAGTAATGAGAAGAATAGGAGAAAACGTGCAGTGGAAGAACACGGGTAATACAAAAGTCGAACAAAACACACAATTAAAAAAAAAAAAAGGTGATATTTGTACTTTAAGTTTGTTGAGGTACATATGTCAATTAGACCAGACAGACATGCTTAAGGGGTGCAAGACTAAGGAGACTTCTCACATACAGACTGAACAACACTCAGTCCCAAATAGTAAATTCAACTCTCCAGCCAGCATTAATTCATTCTAGAGAAGGATCTATCAGTGCCATGTTCCAGAAGTTGTGTTGTGCTTCAGCAAGTTTGTTACCTGAGAATTCCTACAGTACTAACAGTTATGCTTTCCTCAGTGCTCTTCTGAGTACAGACACAAAATCTACTACCTTGTGCAGAGATCTGGACCTGTAACTCCAGTTAAAGCATTCCAAAACTTGTGATAGGAAAAAGAGTAAGATAATGGTTATATTAAATAGATCCTTCAGCTTCTAAGATACCTGTGAATTAAGTTTTCTGCATTCACTGTCAGAGCAGGACTAATACCATAGCAAAGAATCCATAAACCTTGTTTTAGCAAGAGTATCCTTCCCCAAAGAATTAATAGCTTCATCCTGAACAGTGGCTTTTGCTAGAGCTATGACGCAGCTTCGCTACTCACCCTCACAAATTTGTCCGGAGGTAGGGGTTACAGACTCATACTAAGCTCTTTACATAACCACAGCTCCTCGCTTAAGATGCCAAGAGGATCTGAATAGCATGTTCACTAAAAAGTATTCCAGAAAATTCCCTTAAAAAAACCCCAAACCCAGCAGTACTCATGACTACAGAACAGTTTCGTTTTAGACTTGCATCAAATACTGTGAGGTAAGAAGTGCTGAGGCTCCTTATAACCTCACAGAGGGGAAGAAAAACTAGGCTTGATTTAGAAACAAGAATAGGCTTTTCTTTTCCTCGGCATAGATAAAGCTGTCATATTTAGTAGCTATCCATGCTTTCTAAGACAAGAACATCATTGGTTAGGCAGCTTTTCAAGAACACAGGAAGCAGCTTAATTTGTGCATTCCTTCTAATGAATCATGACATCACCTCTGATGGACTAAACTTGAGTCAAAATTCCCATCCTGGATAAAGGTAAAGGCAATTGCGAAGTCTGTCTCCACAACCCTAGGATGCCAGAGCAGCTGGAGCAAAACCAGCTGTCCAGCTCTCCAGCTCACATTCCCTCCCATGGGGACAAAATAGCATCATGATCTTCTATAAACAACTCAGCATACTCTGCACGTTAAGCCTGTGATGGGACAGTTAATGTTATGTCCCTAAAGGGGAACCAATCTCAAAAGCAGTCATTTAAAGAGAGCAGCCTAGTCTCCCAGAGTCAGTGAGGTACAGCTCAAGCAAAGCTCAGTTAACAGTTCTTGAAAAATAGCATGTTCTTATCAACCTTGTGTCTCCTGATGAAGCTTCCCCCCATCACAAACTAAAAACCTTCAGTGCTTGAAGATACTGAATTCTCCCAAACATTTCCAATGGACAGACAGACACACACACCAAAAAAAAAAAAAGACAGAAAGAAGAAACTATTTTTGGCAACCAGAGATGTTTACCAGAGATCCTTAAAAAAAAAAGTCAAGTATTACATTACGCAGGGCTGTCCTATCAAATTGACTGTTTCATTTCTGGCACCTATCACTGTAAAGCTTAACGCTTGTCACCTAACCTAACCGAGACAGCCAGCTGCTCCAGTTACACCAGTTACTGCTGCCCACCTGGAAGCTACTGAACTCTCTCCCCTACAACTGATTCACTTTAACCAAACCACAGCTCACCTCACTACTGTACAGAGTGCTTGCTACTAAATAGCAGAGCAGACCAAAGTTACTGCAGCATGAACCAAGGAAAACGTGAAATCACAATTCATGGGCACTGGCTAAGCAATCACAAGGACCAGCTTATGAACTGTTCTATACACACCTGCAAAAGCTCATCTGTCTAAACTCTGAACTGCTCTTCCTCAGGCTATGTGTGAACTGCTATGCTTTGTCAGGCTAACCTGGACACTTTAAATTACAGTATTTCAGCTATCTCATTCATACTTTGAAGCCTGTTGTTTTTACACGACTGCATGAATTGACAGCATTGGATTTTAATTTCATAATACTATGAGCAGCCAGTCTTAACCTTCCCTACCTTCTCTTTATATCATACCTTTACCCAGCTTTGCTTTCTGTGTTGCCATGCTTTCTCTACATTGGTCTTGCACTGTTGCAAATTTATAAGCCCTCAGCCTTATATGGAAAATTTTTTAGCCATAATCCCAACTACCTTTTTATGCAACAATTGCCTGTCGAGATCTGAATCTAAAAGTTCTCCAATTTACATCCACTTTATACTAGTACTGAAGGCACTGGGGTAAAATAGTAACCATTTTACAACACCAGGAATTGAATACAAAGCAAATTTTTCCTATGAGTACCAGTTTTTTTGTTTTCAGACTGGAAGGAACTAGTATAGTCTGTGCTCTAGTGAAATAACTTCTACACCTTAAGATCCTTCATTGAAGACAGTTTTATCTCATTCCATTGTTCAACCAAGTCTCTAATGGTTGCCTAGTCTTCATGTATAAAACCACACACAAACCAGGGAAAGAAACTGAATTCAGATTTTTAACACTTATAAACACAGCAAAAAATCTGAATTCCAGCTTCTACTATAAGTTTTATTAAGGACTTGGAGAATGAAGATTTCTTCTGAATCACTAGCCACATCCGATGGACCTATGCTATCTGCCTCAGACGATAATGCCTGAAAAATACTATTTTTTACAGCAATGAAGGATTTGAAGAGAAATGGCTAGAAAGAACAAGGGGAGGCTGCAGAAAAGAAAACCAAAAGTTATTTAGAACATTTCTGGCTGTGAAAATTATCTGTTAATGCCAATTCCTTTTAGTAAAACCAATTATCAAATCTACCAGGACTGGCACTGTAGGGCCACACACTTATATACTAACTAGCTGCCTTTCAGTCATTTGTCAGATTGTAGTTCCATGCCTCCACAGCAATCAGACCTCACTGTTGGGGACTGCTTAAAGCCAGACTTTTCAGAGTTAGCATCTATATATACAGTGCAACTGAGTAGCATTTTTTTACATACACATGTAAAAATGTGCTTATATTCCTATTTTTTTTAACCAATACCGATGCTGTGCACAGACAGGCAAACAGAAAACGTATCCCTAACCAATGCTACAGAATCAAGTTTTCCCTGCAACCTGAAAAGACCAAAAAAAAAAAAAAAAGTGCTTAAAACCACTGACATTTTTTAAAGTGAAATTTGAGTAAGCTGACTGGAATAATTTTGTCAAATCCCCACTTAAACATAGGAAGAAATCTTAAAAAAAAAAAATTCCATACACAACACTGAAGTTTAAGTTTCTCTCGTTACATTTGTTAAATCGAAGTGCCTCGGGGCTTGACACTTTGTTCTCTTTAACTACTCTTAAACTAAAGCTATTAAAAAAAAAAGAAAAAAACCCATTTTGTTCAATTCAAGATTTTTAGGATGGGGCTGGCCCCTGTATTGTGAAGCTATTACTGCTCTTATCACCCCAAAGTAAGTCTTTTAACACAACTGGATAAGACAACTCACTTCAGTGTTTTCCAAAATCCTTCATTTTTCATGTGACGTTCAAGTAAGCCATTTCCCCCCCTCCATATATTTCACAGTAATCAAAATGTATTTTTTAGACTATTATTACTCACTGAGGTAATCACTTATTCTTAAATTCTTTCATCATCTCCTTATTACTTCATGTTAACCAGCTCCTCCTCTTCACACCCCCCCCCCCCCCACCAGCAAGCCCAAATATAACTTCTGTGGGAAGCCTGCATGAAACACTACCGAGACTGCTTCAAGGACAAAACACCTGCCATTTACTACTTCACAAAGACAAGATTTTAAGTCTCAGCATGATCTCCAGCATGCACATACAATCTACAATTCATCCATCATACTTTCATCAAAATACATACTTTCTAATTACAGAAAATTATCACAGAAGGACCATTATAGATGTAAAAGCGTAATACAGGTCCAAGCAAGATTCCCCGTCTGTAGCACTTTATCTTCTTCCCTGACTCTCCCTCATCCATACCTCCTAGAGTTTTATAAAACCTGGCACCTTACATCTCACAAAACATCCTTCTAATTGATAAGTAGTTGTAGTGGCTATGACTCCAAGACCAAATAATAAACATCAAATTAACACAAGTACCAAAAAGGGAAGAGCAACATGTCTGTAATCTTAATAAACAAACTTTTACCTCAGTTGTAATGCTACTGGCAGCCATATTTTAAGTGCATCCAATCTTCCAACAAAATGGTGTAAGCAAAAATCTTTGGTTAGCTAAACAGCGATAACACATGAACTTCATCAACAAATTTCAGAACATCACCTCAGTCAGGCATGTGCTGTTATGAGCGCCCAGGTTTCTGAATTTCAAGCCAACTAGACTTGAAAATAATACTTTCTTTCATAGTTCAGAACCAGAACAAACCATGTCCAAACTACATACTCAAATTTTTATAAAAATTAAGGTTTAACATTTATTTTACATCTAGCTTTCCACATCCATGTGGGGACAAGGAATCAGAATGTACATAACTATAAGCAGTGCAAAAGTGGTGCCAGTGCGAAGTCACAGATGCACAATAAAGTGATAGTACAAGACTAGAGAAAATGAAGCTATGGATGTTAAGAATGGAGCCAAAAAAAAAGAAAAATCAAACAAGGAAAAAATGAAAGAGGGCAGGAAAGAGGCGAGCCAGATGTTTAATAATGCCCTTGTTGCTGCAAAGATAAACTAATGGCACAAGACAATGTTTCTTGTAGAACAAAAATCCGATAGCAATGAGTCTTTATTCACGTTTAGTCACCTGACATGAGGAAAGTGTCTGTTGCATTAAAATAGTCATCAATGTAAAATGGCAGCATGGCTGAACAAGTCCTTTTCAATGGTAACGAACATCCCACATAGTAAAGTCACTTCAACACAGCCTTATGACAATTCCCACATCAAAACAGTACTTTATTTTATATTCTTTTTGCCTCATCATTACTCCCACATTAAGATCTTTCAGCTGTCAAGTGTACAAGGTGAAGAAAAAGGTTCTCAGTCAGCAAACAGGGGTGCATCAGGAAGTGTCTCCACAATACACCACTTCAGATCTGCTGGGTCCCAAGTCCATCCTTGAACGCTGGGCTCCCAGCACCAAGTGTAGCACACTACTAAGGCTACACGACTATGTTAGCTTATTAATTCTGCATACATCAGGCCGAACAATGTGTCAACCTGCAACGGACTGAGCATTATAACTGAAAACGGTAAAAGATTCACTCTATTGAACTTTACATCATTATTTGATGTTAAACAATGAGGCAAATCCCAACAGTATATACAAAAACCAGCTTTGCTTTTACAAAAGATTTTGTTTCCCATATTGATTAATCCAGGCAGCTAACTCATTGGTTTATGCAACTTTATTGAAGAAAATAAATCAATTACTAGTAGAGCTATTAGTTGATCACTCATCCATTGACAACTTGCATCATTTATTCAGTGCTATATTAAACAGTGTTTTTGGAAGACAGATTAACTAATAGCTCAAGCCTCCTAACAAAATTTAAATGAATTACAAAAATGTTCTTAGACCCTATTTTGGAATACAAGGGATGTCTGACTTCCAATTTCCATTCTCTGTAAAACAAGAACTGGTCATTCCTTTATTGACATGCATAAGATACATCACATTTTCTGTTCTGCTGATGCTATAGATTCAGTACCAATTCTCCAGACACATCAGTTATGAGCAAAAGTATATAATAAAACCTCAGTTCTCTAACACTTGGAAGGTTTGGAACAAGATGGATGTTGCTACAGCAATGTTACTTCTTTGATGGGAGAAAACTGAACATCCATCTCCCCTCCCCCCTTCAGGTGATATCTTCAGTATCTGTTAGAGCAGTGAGGAATGTTTGTTTGTTTTTAATCTCATAACCAAGTTAGAATGAAGACATTGGCCACATAATACACATGCTCCATTAAAAAAAAATCTGAATCTTGGGCAATTGTTCTTGTGTAACTACTTTACAGATTCTAAAAGCAGTTATTGTCCAAAGCTGGAAGAACTAAAGTCTTCTCAGATGAGCATGTGCATGAATGGAAGGAGGTAAACAAAAAAATAAAAAAAGATGAGGTCTGATAGGGGAGCAGCCGGATAAGAAAATCAAAAAAGGAACAGTAATTTAAAGTTTATTCCAGCTATAATGCAGGTTATTCTGACTTTAAGGTAGCATCACATCGCATATTTTTGGGTCCATTCCCGGGATATTCTGTTATATCTGCAAACAAAACCAGGAATTTAGTTAGTGTCAGCAAGAAAATTACAATTTCCTAAACAGCTAATGATTAAGTATCACTTTATCCACATCTCCCTATTCTCTTCACAGTAAGAGAAGTCTCCTCCTATACTAAGACATACTTGAACTGAAAAAAAATTAACAAATCCCTTCCTAAATTAACTTGGATATTCTCTAATTTATATGAAACACTTGCAGACAAGAAGATTTGCTATTGTGAAAAGCTACTGAAGGGGAAGGAAGAGACCACCTAGGGTAGCAGAGGCAAGGGAGTTCTGTTTAAATATCGTCCTTAGGTAAGGATTACAGGGTATCACATGCCATAAGTACAGATTACTTGGTTAATAGTATCATTGGATACTGAATGTCAAATTTCCCATTTCGGAGTGAAACAACACTAAGCATCTTTGCACATGAATATACCGCTCAAACTGTTTTTAAAAAGACATTAAAAGAATATTTAAGTACACTACTTCAACAGGAGTCGAGCTGACCATTAGTTTACACTTAACTCCATGCTTGTCAGTAAGTAGTTAATTTTCAACTATCCAAGCAGAACATAATCCCCATATGTTTTCCTAGTTTATAGGTAGATGACAGACACTGCCGAGTAATAAAAAGTTGAAATTTGTATTATCTAAATTCACCCAAGCCTACACATGAGGTCTTGATACAGGGCACCACTTTTAATGAAATTCTGGAGAAAATCTGTGTAAATACATACCAGAACAAGCTGACAGGCCATCTTAAAAAGTTTTTTTGTGGGTTTGTTGGGTTTTTTTTGCCATGCAAGAGCAGTATCTGTGAGACATAGTGACTAGCCAATACATTTCACACTAACCACAGGTCAAGCTGTTAAATACCCAAGTTCAGTAACTGGTGCATCCATTATCTGTTAGTTAATCCAGTGCCTTAGAGCATGCAGCACCCAAGTGCTGACAAGTTTCCGTTTTGTTAAATGCACCATAATGTGCAGATATTCTTACCCTACAGCATAGCGTATTTCTCTGTCCACTCTCTTGCTAACCTATTGTACCTAATTGGACAAGTATATTTAGCATTATTATCTGTATAAACCAAAGCCTACGTCATAGAATTCTATCTGTGTAAAATGTTAAAACATATAATTAAAAAATGTTGTTTCAACAGTTGGAAAAAGTTATGAAGCTTTTTTTTCAGGGAGAACACCAAAATTAAAGGCCAAGCTACAACCAAAAGAAACTATCAAAATACGAAGATCTGACTATATTCTATTTAAGCAAAAAACCAGGCAATACATACTTTAAAATACTGCCACACATGAGAAAAAGTCTCCTTCAGAGATACTAAGCTCCTTTGTTTTTAAATTTTGCACTACCAAGAATAGGTGGTACTTTGACACACAAGTTCTCTGCATCCCAGATTTTAACAAAAGGCTCACTCAACACAATGGCTGTCTGACAACAAACTCTTACAAAGTTTGTTACAATATTAGTCTTACACAACTCTGGACTTACTTGTCTCTGTCGGTTTTATAGATACGTGCAATCTCTGGCACTAGTGGGTCATCTGGATTTGGATCACATAACAGTGAACAAATGGATAACAGAACTGTAAGAAGAAAAAAAGGAAAAAAACCCCTCTCAACAGCAAAATAGAAGCAACAATCTCAGAAACAATGGAGCACAGATATTTGCATTAGCACAATATCAGCACAAGAGAGAACCTAGAAAGCCTTTTCCTGATACACAGTCAAAATAAATTTGTAACCCGCTCTAAATAAAAAACTGGGTTCATAAGAACTGTTTCCTATTTCCCAGTACTTAGAGCTGTCAGTAAGCACACTAGAGAATAGCACTATTGCCCCCTGTAATATGATGCAACATAGTAGCCAATAAAAAGCACATTACTATGTATTCTCATGACTAGCATATATTCCATTGTTTTAATCACTAAAACTAGAACTTCAAGGTTTTCTTTTGTTCTTCCCCCTGTCAAAAAATCAAGCAGAATTCTTTCTCTATTATAGGTAAGGCAGCAATATACGTGTCTGCACTGATAAAACTACAGCTATGTTGTAAAATAAGAGACTAGCACTGTTGTAGGCATCTATGAGGACTCCATCCTCTACTCTCACAGCAGCTTTGAAAGAAAATAAATAGTGACAGCATTGAAATGTAGGGTTTTATCACAAACCTACTCCTTGGACAGACAGAAAAGAAACACTTTGACACATCATTTGAAGCCACCATGACCAGTGGCTTTGAGGCAAAACAAAATTTGATTATGAAAATATTTGAAAACTGTTATTTAACATAGTAAAAGGAGGAAAACAAAACTTCTACTGCATCACAGTATCTCAAGTAGAATCACTAAGCTCAGTTCTTGAATCAATGTACTAAAATGCCAGTGACGTGGCAGAAAGCAACACATACCACTAAGTTTTCTTTTATTCATCTACCACAGAGATATGTCAATATAACTCTGCATGTAATTCTAGACAGACTCAGTCAAAAAAACACTATACAGATTTCATTATCAAAAGCTCACTTTAAACTAATCTTTAAATATGCAAGTGCAGATCTACACGGACAGCTGCAAACAAGTGGTTTCTCAGCCTTAGCTCAAATACACCAACCACCACAGGTCTGTTTCAAGCCAAATAGGTTAAGATTCCTTCAGCAGCAAGCTAGAAAGCTCTGCTAGGGATACTGAAGCAACTACGTCTTAAATAGCCATGTAGCAGAAGGTGTAGAAAAATCAAACATCCCTTAAAAATGCTGTAAGATATCATTACCTAATTGGCAAAACTGGCTAGAATGAGTAAGGGAAATCAAGAGACAGATAAGAACTCAAGACAATCAAAGCTAAAAGCACAGTATTCAACACAAGATGGAAATATTTCTCATCCACAAAAGTTACCTTTAGAAATAGTTAAAGCGGGAGACCACTGTGATCTTAGGATATCAAGACAAATGCTGCCATTACTGTTAATATTTGGATGATAGATTCTTGTTGTAAATGCAACCTGCAACAGAAAAACCCAAACAAACATGAAGCATGTGTTGGTGTACAACAACAGTGATGTCACCCTTTCTTTTCTTCTCAGTCAAGCTATCAGTCGACTCGATTTACTCTAAAAGAAAGGGATTAAGTAGTTAAACCACATCAAATTCATGGAAATGCAACCAAGCTGCAATCTCTCAGTTTCCAATTACTAGGCACTCTATTTCAAACAGAGAAAAGGCAAGTATGAGGCTGTGTTTTAATCACAGGTGCCTGCATCATGATGAAGACACTCAAGAGAAGTGCCTGAACCATGGTAACACTGCCATCACAGAGCTGGAGAATTTCAAACACTGCAGTTACTCCAAGTGTGCCCTTTCACATCAACTGAAAATTGGAAGACAATACCAGTGCCTCATAAAGCTACAAAAAAGCATATTTTGCAATTACTGCCAAATTCCAATAGATACCATCCTCACTGATCTTATATCCATAGTCACATTCCTATAGAGCAACCCAAAGAGCTACAGTGTAACAACTGACAGATCCCTCAGCAAGAATTCTATAACAGTAACGCAAAGCTAATGAGTTTTACTATCAATTAAGACAACCAGAAATAAAACCAAATGGAATTTCAAGACATTCAGAATTCACATACATAAAATTTGCTCCTAAAACATATACTAACACACACGTTCTTGTGGTAGTGAGAGAGGAACCTAGCCATCTAATATGCTGAAAGAATGTTTGAAAGAAGTGAGAACTTGAGGTTGGCAAGAAAGAAGTGAGAACTTGACAACAATAAAACAAAGACACTGTCAATTTCTGTCCTGTACTTAGTTCTTTGAAAAACACCAATTTCACAAATGAGAAAGCAATACTTACCTTAGGTGGTTTGAAAGGGTAGTCTGTAGGGAAGTGAATCGTCAGGAAGAATACACCACCCTGATATGGACTGTCATTCTGTCAAAGGAAACGAACAATTCTCCTATTATAATCTTTAGAACCAAGATGTAGTTTTTAAATAAAGATGCTGTTTTTAAATAAAAAGGAGAGGAAATTTGTTTAAACAACTGAACTGTTTAATTTGTCAATATGAGAGATGAAAATAAAATTAAGATTACTTCTTCCTAAGGTAAGCAATACAGAACACATACAGGTCACTTTCTGTATGGACCACTCTGAGGTAATCATAGAACCACAGAATGGCCTAGGCTGGAAGGGACCTTAAAGATCGTTTAATCCAACCTCCCTGTAGTGGGCAGGGACGCCTCTCAACTACATCAGGCAACACATGCTTCACAGAAAACAGCTTCTCTGACAAACCACTCAGAACCATTTGGCAAAAGCATCCAGATGCCTCTAAGAGAGCTCAAAGAAGTTATGTTAACAGAGTGGGGGTCCTGTCAGGTTCAAAAACCTCAAGTTCTGCATTTGGAGCTTATTTGTTATGACTACCCACGTGTACAATGGCTGCAGAGAGCTCTAAGGGCCTCCCATTTAATCTCAAGTTCTGTCCTTGGCTTAGACATTGCTCAGCCCTGCAGAAAACCTAAAAATACACAGCTTCCTTGCAAAATTAAAGCACAAAACAAAACAAAACCCATCCAACTTAACAACACCACTAAACAAACAAATCACTCCATCAAGACTAAAGTGAATTCTTCCTCCCTTTCTATATTAGAAATACTCTGTAATCTAGTATGGATGAATATTTTAAATTTCCCTGCTCCAAGGAAACAATTATGGGGATAATTCATTCAAGCATTAACTATTAGCAGTAAAGCAACACGTGGAAGCAAAGAAGCTGATATTAAGCAGAGAATAAATTGAGAGACTAAACAGGGTTTGTGTAAATTACTACTTAAAAGAAGATGTAAGGACTTTTAACTTGAAACTACAACTAAGTTGCTGAAAAAGAGCTAACAATGACATTGTTTAACCTGGACTACAACGCTTTTAAACGAATCTGAGACACACAGTACAATTCTGAGTTACAGTATTTTCATATTAATTGCAAGAACATTTCACCAATGTAAGGAAATAACTACATCTTACTTTGTTAAATATCAGAAAACGAAATTCTGCAACACAAGGGTCTCAAACTTGAAAACATGTAGGTTATACCCTCATCCAATCTCTTCTGAAAACCTAGCAATCAAGATATAACCTTTTGTACTTCAAAAAATATCATGCAAGGCCTCGAGGAGCCAGAAAGAAACCCTTCTACAGGATGTATTCTGGAAATACATTTTAGCAATTAGAGAAACCTCTCTTAAAATGTGTTAACCCAATGCAAGCTCTCTTATATCTACCTAGAAGATCACAGCCAGTATAAAATATCCGATTTCAGAGGTGGAAGGCCAGACAATTGGCCCTATGATCCTTGTCCACTGTTCAAGGCACTAAGCAACACCACAGGAGCTCCAGAACTACAAACATCACACGTCTGTCAGGCTACTGCCCAATCTTGTCACAGAAATGCAGACCTTCTGACATCACAAAAACCATACGGGGAAAAAAGGAGCTGTACATTAATAAACCAGAAGGGGAAGCTAAAAATAATAATCCCAATTTAAATTTGACTGATGTTTAATACCGTATGACTAGGCAGACACCAGTCACGTAAAATCATACTCAATAGAGGGCAGAACATTCCTCGCCATTTAAGCATGAATATAGCCATTAAGCAATTTTATCTTTTCGAGGCACTCCGTTATAATCAATGAGGACCAGGGACTCAGGAACAGAGAGACATTTTCCAGTCAGATGCACCTCTAATAAGCATGTTTTCCATATCCTAAAACCACACTTGTAGCTATATATAAAGCCAGGGCAATTCAGCATCACTGATATTTAACTCCTACTCTGAAGCCTCATCAGAAGCATTACGTTGTGGCTGCAGGTCTACTGGCATCCAATATTTGTCTTGAAGTTACAGAAGGTTTTGTTTTCTAAAGATAGTTAACCAGCCCTGAGAACTCCAGATGTCAAGTGTCTGCAGGTTATGTTTTCAGTAAAGGCATAAATTTGCCTTCTTTAACAAGGAAAAAGTCACATTCATATTTCAAATGTTTACTGAACATAAATACACAGTGTTTTTCCCTCCAGTCACAACTGGAACCTCCTATTTCAGTGTTTTTTTCCCTTCTTTTCCTCAAAGTTTTCAAGGTTTCAGTACATGACACCAGACTAAGTAAGGATTCCCTGTTCTGTTCCAAGATTCTCACAAAAGCATCCCAACTAATTCCTGACACCTGGACATACTCCTAGTAAAAAGCTCCTGCTACATTAAAACTTCAGAAAAAGCTAAACTCAAACAAAGTTTCTAGATATTAAGTGGTAACACCTAACATTGCTCTAGCTGAAATACATGTTCTCATAAAATATTTCAGCAATAAAATTATCTCTTTGATTCCCTCCCCCTCTTCATTTTGTATTACCATAAGGAGTATCCTCTAGCACTAAAGCCTGATAAGGGGAGTTTTAAAAAAAAAAAAGGTAAAACAAAAAGAGCCACAGTTTCCTCCTGAGTAAGAACTGCTAGTTTAATACTATGTCACAAGAATTAGAATACTTACAGGTCCCATAATTGTTGCTTGCCAGTGAAACACTACAAAAGAAAAACTCCGCATTATTATCTATGCATGATATGTTTCGAGTTAGCAGAGCAAAACGTAAAACTTAAGGTTACTTACTATCA